CCCGAGGGTTCCTCTCCTCTTAAGCTCCAGAGTCCTGCACAGCCCTCCCCTGTGCCTCCTCTGTCCCCAAGGCTTCAAATAACCTCCATAGGCTAAAGAACCCCCCATTCCATGCAGAGGGTTTTTTTTTTCGCATTTTTTACATTTTATTGGTACAGTTTATTCATTTATTTATTTATTTGAAGGAAGAAAGGGGTTTTTTTGGTGTTTTTTGTTGTTGTTTTTTGGTCTTTTTGAGACAGAGTCTCACTATATAATTCAGGCTGGCACTGAACTCACTATGTAGCCCAGGCTGGTCTCGAACTCAAAATGATCCTCCTGCCTCAGCCTCCCAAGTGCTGGGATGACAGGCATACGCCACCACGCCTGGGCCCTGAAACGTCACACTGATCCTCATTCCAGACTGCAGTAAAGTGGAAGATGTCTGGGGCCTGGCCTGGGCCCACCCACTTCAACCCAAAAACAAACAGAGATGGCTGATTGTGCCAACCAGACTGGCTCAGCATAGCTCTGGGTGTGCAAGACCCACCCGGGGGCGGATGTCACCAGAATGATGTAAAAGAGAAATGAAAAAGGCAGGTTTGCTTCTGATCTCTTCAGAGGAGCTCAATCTGCCCTTTCACCTCAGATATCCTCTTCCGGCTTCCATCACAGACGCTTCGGCCTCCTGGTACAGACTGGCATTGGAAACCACACTGAGCTTCAGGCCTTCTGCTAGACCCTTCAGGTCCCCAGTGTCCCGACAGGCGTTTTTTACTCTTCCACACCAGACTCTGTGGGGAGCTGTTGTAAGCCAATTTTGTAAATTCTTACATATTCTTTTTTTTTTTTTTTTTTTTTTTTGGTGTTTTTGAGATAAGGTCCTGCTGTGCAGCCCAGGCTGGCGTCGAACTCACAACGATCCTCCCGCCTCAGCCTCCCGAGTGCTGGGATTACAGGTGTGCACCACCACGCCTGGCTTATATTCTTATCAAATCTGTTCTCTCTAGGAAGCACCAACTGACACAAGTGGGTTCAGTGCAGATTTCCGGGTGTCTGAAATTCCGTCCGCCTCCTTCACACCCCCCTCTCCTGGGCCCCCACACCCATCCAGCCTCTGCTGCAGCTCCCCTCTCCCAACTCCTTCCCAGCAGCTATAGAGGATTTTTTGTTGTAGTACTGGGTGCTGAACACAGGCCCTTTGACAGGGCTACATGAGGAGACCCTGTCTCAAAAAAAAAAACATTGTCCAGTTGGGAAAGACCGCCCACCATCCTAGGTGGTCTCCAAGTGGGCAGGAATAAGACAGGACTGGAAGAAAAGCCAAGTGACCACACGCCTGTAATCCCAGTACTCAGGAGGCTGAGGCAGGAGGATCACCAAAAGTTTGAGGGCTGCCTGGGCTACAGTAAGTACAAGACCAGCCTTAACTACATAGCGAGAAAGAAAGAGGGAGGGACAGGGACAGAGGCAGAGGCAGAGACAGAGATACACGGTGAACCCCAACGCAAGGCTACAACAGCCACTCCTGGGAATATAACTAGATGTAGTAGTCAGGAGCTTTGCAAAAGTTACGAGCGCTCCGGTCACCAAGCAGGCGCTCTGCGTCTCCAGTGCTCCGCTCATAATTTGCATACGCGTGGGCCCGGAGCTGGCGCGGAGGTAGGCGGGGCCTACTCGTCCCGTTGTCCTAGCTACGGCTGGGCGGGACCTGAGTGGAAGCTACACCTCCACTTCCGCCAGGAGCCGGAAGTCACTGTCTCCCGGGTGAACTGGCCTTTGCAGTAGAGCAAGCGAGTGCAGGTAAGGGTTTGCCCAGTCGGGCTTTGGGGCTGGACGGGACTGGGCGCCCTTCTGCTTCAGCTCACGGCGGGACCCTGATGCCTGCTTCAGGAGCCCCTCCCTGGTTTGGGTGCCACCCGAACGAGATTAATCCCCCAGACCCCAGCGTACCAAGTGGGGCATCTCTGCGCCTGGTTCATGCGGGCGGCGATCAGGAGGCGACGCCGAAGCCCCTGCGATCAGAGAGCCACAGCCCATTCTCCGCCTCTGGGGTCCGGGCAGGTTGGGTGGGGGAATCAGCTCTCTTCCACTACCACCCCGACGTGCCTGGACTTTGGCACGAGCCAGACCCCGATCCTGGGGCGGTGCGAGCGATTTGAGATCACCAGGTTCCCTGAGGTTCCGGGGTCCATCCGTAATCCGAGCCAGGAAGTCGTTTATTTATTCAACAAGTGGTTGCTACGTGCTTGGTGTATGCCGGGCGACAATATGGGCTGCAGACCAGGCTACATCTTACTACTCCCTCAACCTTCAGGGTCTTGGGACTGGTGCTTTCCTCTTTGTATCTCTTTTTTTTTTTTTTTTTGTCTTTTTGAGACAGGGTCCCACTATGCAGTTCAGGCTGGCCTTGAGCTCCCTTTGTAGCCCAGGCTGGCCTCGAACTCACAATGATCCTCCTGCCTCAGCCTCCCGAGTGCTGGGATTACAGAGGCGTGCACCACTACGCCCTGTTCCTCTTTGTGTCTCTTGGTCTCCTCCCTACTACACCCTGCAGCCCGGCTCTTAATAAAATCGTGGTGCGCCCCAGAGCCCTGGCAGTTGCTGATCCGCTGCCTGGAAATCCCGGCTGCCTCCTGCTATTCAGGCCTCGGCTTAAATAACAGCCATCTAGGAAGGGTCTTTTCCAGTCTCCACAGATCTGAAGTAGCCCTTCCTCAGAAACTTGTGTGAACTCTGGGAGCCTCAGAGTAAGTATTTACCAATATTTGAAATTCTTTCACCTTTTTTTTTTTTTTTTTTGAGACAGGGTCTCCATATGTAGTTCAGACCAGCCTTGAACTCAGTGATCCTCCTGCCTCAGCCTCCCGAGTGTTGGCATGACAGACATGCGCCACCATGCCTGGCTCAGCTCTGATTTATAGACAAGGGAACCTCACACAGAGAGCTTCTGTAATTTAGAGCTTGTTCTCACCTCTGCTATCCAGAACCTGTGGAGATTGTCTTATCAGACCTGGGAGGGAGCCTGGTACGCTGGTGCACACCTGTCATCCCAGCACTCAGGAGGCTGAGGCAGAAGGATCACTGAGTTTGAGGCCAGCCAGGGTTACATAGTAAGTTCAAGTTCAGCCTGGAATACATAGCAAGACCTCTGACTTCTGCCCTCCCCCTGTGCCCGCAGGTTCATCCACTCCAGCCATGGGACGCAGGAAGTCAAAACGGAAGCCGCCCCCCAAGAAGAAGATGACAGGCACCCTAGAGACCCAGTTTACTTGCCCCTTCTGCAACCATGAGAAGTCCTGCGACGTAAAAATGTGAGTGGGGGGGGCATCCTGCCTCAGTGGCTCCAGACCTCTCCCTTCCCTCTTCCCTGCCATCCTCAGGTCTGCCCGGGGCCTCTCAGCTTGGAAGGTGGCCACCTGCAAGCTGAAGGGTCACTGTCCGCCTCGGCTCGTTTCAGGGACCGCGCCCGCAACACTGGAGTCATTTCCTGTACTGTGTGCCTCGAGGAGTTCCAGACGCCCATCACTTGTATCCTTGGACGGCCGAGCTTCTTCGGGAGATGGGAGAGCAGGTCGGGTGGTCAGGGCTGGCCTGGCCAAGGGGAGGGGACGGAGGCCATGCTGTGTGCCCTGGTGCAGGGCGACGGCCAGCCAGAGGCGGGAGCACCTCCTGCGGTCTTAGCCAGGTGGCAGGGTACAAGGGCGGGGTCCAGTCGCCACCAATCCCCCTTGACTTCAGTGCCTCAGATCTGTCAGAACCCGTGGACGTGTACAGCGATTGGATAGACGCCTGCGAGGCAGCCAATCAGTAGCGACGCCGAGGACCCACCCCCTTGGCAGCCCCGCCTGCCGTAGGCCCGCCCACTGGGCACCGACGCAGAGACATTCCAGGGTCGGGGTGGGTCCAGGGCGGCCTTGGCCCCTGTGTGTCTGTGTGGTGGGTGCGAGAGTGTGTGCGCCCATAGGCTCGGGGAGCAGCTGAGGAGTTGCCAGCCCTCGGGGTCCTGACCGGGGCTCCCTCGGCTGCTCCCTCTTCACCCCCAGCCTCCCCGGGCTTTGGGCCTCAGTTTCCCTGACGGGCTTTTTCCTGGCATCCTCGCCGGGCAGGAGGTGGATGCGGGACTTCTCGAGCCTTGACAGCAGTCTGCCCCTGTGCCTTGGAGTTGAAACCCTGGTGCCCCGGCTCCCTTGGCAGAGCGAGCCAGCCCCCCTGCACTAACCGGCGGCCCCATTTCATCTTCCGGAGGAGGGAGGGCTGGGTGGGGGAAGCTGTCGGTCCTGAGCCCCTCAATAAAAGAGCCAGTCCAGATTCCTTGCCGTGCTGAGTTCTTGGGTGATTTCGGGGCGATGCATGACTCGGTGTGTACAGCAGTCAGTGAAAACGGGGGAGGAGGGATGGTGCTGCAGGAGCGTGCTAGGGGCTGCCTTCAAGACGGGCACCCCAGGCCACACCCAGCTCCCAGGGCTTGTCACCCTGGGAGGTGGGTGCCAGGGACACCCCAAGTTCACAGGAGGGGAAGCCCCAGAGAGCCGCAGCTGGCCCCTGAGCCCAGGAAGCTGGGCCTCAGCCCATGATCCACTTCCTTAAAAGTCCAGGGTCCGGGCGGAGGGGACAGACGGCGCGCTGACCATCCTGGGGGCGGTGGGAGGGAACACAGAAGAAGCCTTGAGGTCCACAGTAGGGACCTCGTGCCAGGGCGGGAGGTGCTGGCGGGATACACACGGCTGATGCGAGCAGCCGGGGGCCCCTTGGACAGTCGCGAGGGTGACGGCCCTGACCCTGGCCACCTGGACAGGTCCGGTGCCTCCGCTTGGCCCCAGAGCCTGGGGCGCACAGGGAAGGGTGCAGGAGTCTTTCCTGCTGGGGACGGAGGGGCAGGTGGCTCGGGCCTGCCCAGATGGTGACACGTACAAATAAATGCATGTCGGTGGCTCTGGAAGCCTCGGCCACCTGGCTGTGCTCCTGGGTCTGGCACGCGTCCCGCAGAACTACCAGGTCAGGACCGAGGTGACACGCCCTCCCTGGCAGTCCTGCCGCCGCCGCCTCCACCTCCTCCCAGAGGACCCTGCCGCGTGGCAGGCAGGCACCTGGGTTGGGGGTGCCCTCCAGGGCCCAGCAGGAAGGGCGCCCGCTCCTCTGACTCCCGCCCGCCCCGTTCTGACAGGCTGAGTGCTAATATGGTGCTGTTTGCACGAGGAGGCCGGGCCCCGGGCCAGCACGCATCCTCCCCGGCATAGCTTCCCGCCACCAGAGAGCCTGGAATCCGCTTTACGAGGCCCCGGGGGCTGTGCGTGTCAGCGTGTGCGGCTTCTGGTGTCTGTCTCCGCAGGCCCCGCGTTCCAGCCTCGACCCCTGTCCCGGGCCGGCCGCGGATGCTTGGTCCCTCTCATCTCTGCCTTCCCTCCCTGGAGTCCTGATGGTGGGTGGCTTCCAAGCAGGATGGCCGGGGCCCTCTTCACTGGGAAAATGGGATCCACTCGGAAGCGTAAGGAGGTGGGTGCCCCGGCCACAGCCTAGGGTTCTGGGCCGCAAGGCAAAGGCCAGACGTGAGCCGGGCACGCAGAGGTGGCTGTGCCCACAGTGTACCCTCAACTGCTCCCCGACGGATCACCGCCCGGCCTGAAGGCCAATCCTCCCAGCTTCCCCAGTCCCTACTGTCGGGTTTGCTCTGCCCACGATGGCCCCAGGACCCTTGCATGGCATGTCATGACAGCACTCCATGATATTCATGGGAGAAACAGGCCTGCCCAAGGTCACCGAGCCCAGTAAGCGATGATCCGCACCCTGTCCCGCCAGCCCCGGTGGTTGCTCTTCCTTGCCACAGAACACAGGCTTTTGGGAAAGGTGTGCGGACCTTGTGCCGTGTCCAGGGGTGGGTCTCAGCACTTGGAGTACAATGTCCACTTTTTCTTCGTGTGGTGCTGGTGGTGGAACCCAGGGCCTTTGCACGAGCTCCACAACTGCTCCCCGCCGAGCTGCCCTCCTCAGGGCAGTGTATGCTTTCTGTACATTGTAAGCGCAAGCGCATACGTTGCATGTGTGCGTGGCTGTATGTGAGACAGTGGGCACGTGTTTTGCATGAGTGTGTCAGACTGCACGGCCTGTATCCAGCCACGTGGCTGTGAAGTCCATGTGTGGATCTTTAATTTTTCTTGAGATAGAGGCTCACAATATAGTCCAGGCTGTCCTGGAACTCAGCGGCCTCCTGCCTCAGCCTCCCAAGTGCCGGGATTGTGGGTTTCCACCACCAGGCCCAGCCATGTGTGCATCCTGGGACACACGTGTGCACTCGGCTCCGGGACCGGGCTCATGGGAGACAGTTTCTCCACAGCTGAGGGTTGGAGGGTGGCAAAGGTTTGGGGGTGACTCCAAGGGGCGTGCGATAGAGATCCCTCACACACACAGTTGGCAGGAAGGTCTGCGCTCCTGTAGCAGGAACCGAACGCCCACTGATCTGACAGGTGCTGGAGCTCGGGCAGCCCCGAGAGAGACAGAAACGCAGCTGAAGCCTCAGTCACCTCCTGCTGCGCGGCCCCCTCCTAACAGCGTGGGGACCCCTGGCGGGGTGTATCCAGGCAGGACTATTCGTACGTGTGTGAGCGCCCCCGTGGCCCCAGTACCCAGCGTCCCCGACCGCTCCTGTGATTTTACAGCCATTTATTGTGCTCCAGTGAAATAAAAAAAGAAAGTGCTCGCGTTACAAACACCGCCGTCACCACCTACGCCAGTCGCCAGTCGCTGCAAACCAAACCGCGTGTGTCCGCTGCGTCTCGGGCATGCAGTTCGCTCCCGCCGCGGGAGGGGGCCGAGCCTGGGCTCTGGGGGCTTTGCTTGGAAAGGGGGGGCTCCTAGTCCTGGGGTACCCACTTGTGAGGGAGTAGGGCAGCTGGGTAGCTTTGCTCAGTGCGCCCTTCGGGTGCTGTCGCGGAAACCCCGGCTCTGCGTTGGGCCCTGCGGCGCTACAGAGAGGAGGCCCGCTTCCCCGCACACAGGGCCCCCAGACTGCTCTCCCCAAACTAACCCTGTAGGCAGGTGCCAGGGGCTGGGGACGCCATGCAGGGGCAGGGGTCGGCTGGGCCGGCGGGCTCCAGCCTAGAGCAGCAGCAGCAGCAGCGGCCCCGGGGCCTAGGCGGAGTTGTAATAGTTGTGCGGGTGGTGGTTGTGCACGGGCTCGCCCAGCTCCGGGTACTCGGGCGTCAGGCAGTACTTGGGGTCGTACACCTGGCGCGGCAGCCCGTACACCGTCATGCCCCGCTGCGAGGCGCCCTTGTTGCTGCCCATCTGCAGGCTGACATTCAGCATGTCACAGTGCTCCATGCCCAGGCCAGGCTCGAAGATCTGCCGCTTGGTGCCAGGTGCCGTCATGCCAGCCTGTGGAGGAGGACAGGGAGGTTGGGCCGTGGGGACAGCGGGGGCCTGGGCCTGGCCGGCGCGCCGCGCAGCTGCCCGCTCACCTGGCTGGCCCCCTTGTTGGTGCCCATCTGCAGGCTGATGGTGGCCTGGTCCAGCGGCTGGTCCGTGCCCAGCTTGGGGTCATAGAGGTGGCGCCGGGTGCCGTAGGCTGTCATGCCCTGCTGGCTGGCAAACTTGTTGGTGCCCATCTAGAAAGGCAGAGGGAGAATCACCCCGAGGACCAAAGTCTCCCCAAGCGTGAGGCACTACTGCCACCTTCAGGGGACAGGCTAGAACCGAGGCTCAGAGAAACGGGACTCATGGCTAGCGTCTCCTAAAGGGGGCTATCTGGGAAGTGAGCTAGCTTCTCCGGCCTCAGTTTCCCTCTTTCACAAAGACAGGACCTACCCTCGGGTGACGGGCAGAGGGAGGGATTTGGTCAATGGAAAAATGCAGAAAGCCAGGCGTGGTGGCGCATGCCTGTCACTTTAGCGCTCAGGAGGCTGAGGCAGGAGGATCGCTGCGCATTCAAAACCAGCCTGGGCTACACAGTGAGTTCAAGGCCAGCCTGGACTACACAGTGAGACTCTTGTCTCGAACGAAAGAAGCAGGAAAGACAGAAAGAAAAGAAAGAAGAGCACATAATGCCTAGCCTATAGTTAATGCCAAACACTCTGTGCCCGCGGCCCAAGCTGCCCTCCCGTGAAGCCCAGGGTGAGGAAGGAGCAGGACCTGCAGCCCGATGATGTTCCGCCCTTCTCTCAGCTTCTCTGGCTCAAATTTCCGCTCCTGCTTCTCAGCATACTTCACCCCGACATTCACCTTGTTGCCTTTCGTCTTGGCCTGGGGGTGGGTGAGGGGCCAGGGACCCCTTAGAAATTCCGCAGCACCGCTCTCCCGGGAGCCCCGCCCAGCATCCACCCCGGCCCCCGCTCACCATGCTGGCCAGGGCCAGGAGCGTGGACTGCACCTGGGTGTGGTTGGTGTTCTCAAACAGGTCGTTGGCCTCGAAGATGTCGTGGGGCTTCACCCCGTACTTGGTGATGGCCTTGATGAAATTTCCGATGTTCTCCAGCTGCAGGGAGCGGGGGCGTCAGGGGCAGAAGCGGGTGTGAGGGGCGTGCAGCCAAGCGCTTGCGTGCCCTTACCTGGTGCCAATTTTGGGTCGACTCATTCACCTTCTTCACCGAGCCCGGCTGGAGCTTATTGATGAATCTATAAAAAGGCAGGCAGGCAGCTCTCGGAGGCATCCGGCCAAGCCACCCCACCCCAGCACACCCTCGCGGTACAGAGAAAACCAGGTCACCCTCTGCAAAGTCCCTGTGCCACGGCATCTCCTGCCTCTTGTCCTGCTTTTCCTGCAACCTGATTGACTGACTGAGCTGTTTTGAGACAGGGTCTCACTATGTAGTCTGGGCCGGCTTTGAACTCATTACATAACCCAGGCTGGCCTTGAGCTCGCTGTGATCCTCCTGCCTCAGCCTCCCCCGTGCTGGGATGACAGATGTGTGTCGCCACGCTCGGCTTCCTATGTCCTCACTGTTGGCCATATCTCAGTAACTTTTCTCCTGAGGCTGTGGGAGGGAGCCCACGAGGGCTGTCCCCCGGCCACCCGCGGCCCTTTGGGGAATCTCATCACTGTCTTGATTTTGGGGGCCCTGGATTTGCTAGCGACTCACTCCCCAGTGTCTCCCCGTGGCTCAGACCCCTCCATCCCCAATCTCGCTCCTGCCAGGGGTCTCACATCGGTTTTAAATCGCGCACACCCTACCCCGGACCCCCTCCTAGCCACGCTCCTCCACCCTCCACCCTTCCTGGCTTCGTAAATCAGCGTCCACCCTTCCAGGTGCCCAGCCAAAGCCAAGGTGCTTGCGCTTGACACCCGCCCTTTCCCTGTCTCCAGCCCCACATCTGCTCCCTCAGCAAGTCCGCTGGCTCAGGCTTCCACCCCGCCCTGCCCTGGGCCACCGCTGCGTCTCTGCTGGCAGTGGCCACCCAGGTGCCTCACCTTCCGCCTCATAGCAGCCAGGAAAAAAAAACCAAAAAACTTTAAAAACCATCAAGGAGGCTGCATGGTGGCACATGCCTGTAATCCCAGCTACTAGGAAGCTGAAGCAGGAAGATCACAAGGTTGATGCCAGCCCAGGGCATTTAGCGAGACCCTGTCTCAAAATAAAGTAAGGGGGGCTTACCTCAGCAGTACAGCACTTGTCTGGCCCTGCATGAAGCCCTGGGTCCATCCCCAGCACCCGCACACAAAACGCAAATTACTCTCCAGTTCAACGCCCCCGCCCAAGTGACTTCCCATTGCCTTCAGAATAAAACCCAAACCCCTTTGGTTTTTGTTTGTTTGTTTTCAAGATAGTCTTGCTCTGTGGCTCAGGCTGGCCTGGAATTCACAGCGATCCTCCTGCCCCAGCCTCCCAAGTGCTGGGATTTACAGGCACGTGACACCATGCCTGGTTTAAACTCCTTTGCATGGCTAGCCATCCTGCCTGGCTGGGCTGCAGTTAACTCCCTGACTTACCCCACTGCACTTCCCATCCTCTGGCTGCAGGGCCTCAGGGCCTTTGCACTGGCTGTCTGTGTTGTCTACTGGTTCTTCTCTCAGATCTGTGCCCCACCCCCTTCCCCAGAGTCCTCTGAGGTCTGGTTCAGTCAGATGTTACCTCCTCAGCAAGCCCTCCCAGAATGCCCATGGGGAACTATACGCCCATCATGCGTGTGATTATCCGACCGATTCCACCTGTCTCTCCCCCGGGATCAAGGCTCCCTGTGGGCTCTGCCTGGAGTGTGGCTCCCCGGTCCTGTGCCTAGAACAGCGGCCTGCACACCTGGGGCTCCTTAAGTGCTTGCTGCGTGAGTGAGTGAGTGAAGGAATGAATGAGTGAATGCTGCGTGGGTGAGCTAACTCCCTACTCTTTCTTTTTTTTGAAACAAGGAACAAGATAAGCACCCACAACTCCTCCCTCGCAGCACCTAAGACTTTGAGTTTTTGTTTGTTTATTTTGATGTTTTTTGAAGCATGTCTCACTAAGTCACTAAATTGCCCAGGTTGGGCTACAATTTCAGATCCTCCTGCCTCAGCCTCCCAGAGTGCTGCTATGACAGGCATGCACTGTCACACCTAGCCGAACCTCAGTTTTCTCTGCCTGTTAAATGGGCACGATAACTGTCTAGATTGTTTGGAGGTCTCAGGTAGAAAGGGTTCAAGCCAGCCGGGTGGTGTGCCTGGAGGCAGTTGGGAGCTCCTTGGTGGCGGGGGCCGGGCCCATGGCGGCCCCACTCACTCGCACAGGATGATGCCGTCCTTGAGGCCGTCCATGAAGTTGTTGCCGATGCGGCGCCCGGTCACACCCTCGATCCACTCCCGCAGCTCCTGTTCCCGCTGGTGGTCATACTTCTGGGCCAGCTGGGGCGGGGGGCACAGGCGGCAGTGAGGGTGCAGACCACAGAGAACAGCTTTGGCTGCCTGCGTCCCAGCCGAGCCCTCCTGGGCCTGATCTCCCACCCGGTACCACCCCAACTAAGGCGATTCTGTCCCGGCATCCTGGGGGGCGGGGGCGGGGCTGAGGGCCAGGGCTGAGGTGGCACCTGCCCAGGGGGCCATTCCGGGCATTCTGAGGTTTGGCACCAGAGAATGAGGACAAGGGGGGTGAGGAGCCGCGTCCTTGGTGGGGGGGCGGTGCCTGGCCTCCTGGTTCCCCCTGCGGGCCAAATTGGGGTTTAGCTTTCCCTGGCCCTGCCCCCCGGCACCCTCCAGCTGGCAGAGGGGTGCCTGGCGCAGGGGGGAAGAGAAGCTAGAAAGGAGGAGCCCCCAGGTGCTGGCTGGCTGGGCCACCACCAGCTCCTGACTCCACCCCACCACAACCGCGGCTCAGGCTCTGGCTAGAAGTGGGGCTCGCCTGGGTCTCACCCCGACCCTTGCCTGTCTGTTTTGTTGGTGGTGGTGGTATTTTGAGACATGGTCTTGCTCAGTAGTTCAGGCTGGCCTTGAACTCCAACTGATCCTGCTGCCTCCACCTCCCCAGTGCTGGAATGACAGGCGTGAGCCACCTCGGCTCTGTCTGTATTTTTCTTTCTTTTTGAGACAGGGTCTCACTGTGCAGTTCAGGCTGGCCTCAAACTCGAGGTGATCCTCCTGCCTCAGCCTTCTCTCTGTATTTCTGTCTCTCCCCAGCGCTGTCTCTCCTTCCCGGGCTCTGTGGCAGGGTCCCTGTCTCTCTCTGGGTGGCCGGCACCTGTTCCGGGGTGCTGGGGCTCACAGCTTTGCATCGAATCCCTGCAGGGCAGTTTCTCACCTCTGACTCCAGGGTCCCTGGCTGTGCAGGGAGGGGGTGGGGCTGGGCCGTCCGTCTGCCTCCCCTCTGCACCGCTCCATTCCTGTCTCCCTGCCCTCCTGCAGCTCGGCCTCCCGGTCCCCTCTCCTGCGTCCCAGCATCCTTGCCCTCAGCCTTGCCCCCCGCCCCCGTCTTTCTCCAGAAGCCCAGATCCTCGGGCACCGGGCTGCCCGTTCCCCTGAGTAGGGGGAGGTGGGCAGGGGCGGCCCTCACCTGCCCTAGCCCCGCGGTCCCCCTCCCCGCCAGCCCGGCTTTATAAAGCAAACCAGCCCTTATATAGAGCGCCCGGCTCCCCAAGGCCGCCTTATATGGCGCGGCGGCTCCGCGCGACTCTGGGGCCGGCGCTGGGGGGAGGGGGCGGCGCTGGGATCCGATTCCCGCCTGGCACCCGTCCCTCCTCCAGCCGAGGGTCCCCCGTCCAGGGTGCAGTCCCAGCTCCCCGCTTCCTCGCTCGGAGACCCTAGGAAAAGCCTCCCCGGCCTCAGTGTTCCTCTCTGTCAAATGGGGCTGGAGCCCCTCCCCCGGCGAACCTCTCCAAAGAGTCCAGGGGAGGGAGACTTGAAGTCCCCTAACCTGGAGAAACTGCTGCCCTCCTGGTGTGTGCAGGGGTGCAAGGAGAGGGGTTCAGTCCAAGGCCAGCTCTGCACTGCCTTGCCTAGGACCCCAGCGACTGGCCTTGCCTCTCTGAGCCTCAGTTTACCCATTCGCGGCACGAAGATGGTCTCCCAGTGTCTTCCGAGCTCTTCAGTAAGGAGACCCCTACCTGGAGCCCCTGACACCCCCTCCTTCCCTCCCCGACTGTCTCCCTCCTCCTCCTGACCTCCCGAGCGTTCTTTAGCTCCCAGGAACCCCCAGTCTCAAGCGCCCCCCAATTTCTTTGTCAGGCTGCAAGAAAAATCAAGTCTTCCCCGAGAGTGCCCCCCCAGGAACGCACAGAGTTGTCAGAGGACTTTGATAAACTAGGGGTCTTTGTAAGGCAGCTGCCCCTCTGCTTGTGGGTGGCTGGGTGCCCCCTACTCTGCCCCTCAAAAATAGCTGAGAGCGCTGGGCTGTTCCGGAGGGCGGGGGGAGACAGCCCCTACCCAGCAGACACCCACCTCCCGATCAGGTTCCAAGTCACGTGTGACAGGCAGAAGGGGGTTCAGGGGACCCCGAGAGCTTCTGGCCGGGCAGGGGCTTACCTTGTTCTTGACCTCCGCTGACAGCCCGTAGGCGGGGCCCCGGTTGAAGTGGGCAGAAGACATGCTGACCGGTGCGCTCCGGCTGGGCAGTGGGGGGTCGCCGAGGACCAAGGTGGCAGCAGCCGAGGCTCCGTCTGCACCCTGCTCACACGTTTTTGAAGCTCCGGAGGCGCCCGGGTCTGTCCCAAGGCCGTCCCATTGGGCGCAGGGCCTGCCGAGGGGCGGGGCGCCCCACCTTAGCCACCCCCCTTCTCTCGTGATGTCAGGGCCTTGGTATTGGGAGCTGATGGTGTCAGAGTTTCCGCCTGGAGGGGCAGCGTGCGTTTTTCTGGGAGAGGGGCTTGGTCAAGCCGACACCAGCTTTGTCCCGTCCTCCCCCGCGCTGGCCCTGGGTCCCTGGCCGGTCTCTGAGGCTTTATCTCTGAGGTCATCAGTTCCCCTCTCCGCTCCTGAGGCAGTGGAAGTTGAAGCAGCAGCATCCTGGGCTTCGCTCCAGGCCTCGACGTCTATATATAGCCTTAGGTAAATCCCCTCTCCGCCCTGGGCTTCTGTCACCGCATCTGTAAAATGGGCTAATGATCCCGTCTCCCTCCTGAAGCTACTGTGAAGATCAGAAGGGATAATGCAGCCGGGTGACATGGTGCACATCTGTAATCCCAGCGACTCCAGAGGCTGAGGCAGGAGGATTGCAAGTTCAAGGGCAGCCTGGGCAATTTAGTGAGGAACCACGGCAAAATAAAAACAAAGGGCTGGGGGTGTAGGTCAGTGGAAAATGCTCGAGTAGCAAGGCTATGGGTTCCATCTCCAGTACTGAAGGCAAAAAAAAAAAAGAAGGAAGAAGTGAAATGAAGAAGAAATGTTGCCCCCAACATTCCCAGCACAGCGCCTGGCTCAGGAGAGGGATTCGGGCAGTAGTGCCTGACCCGGCACCTCATTTCTGTCCCTTCCACCCCTCGTACGGTCCCGACGGAGCAGAGACCCTGCATCTCCCCTCCCAGTCCACCTAGGGGTCTCCTGAGCCGCACGGTGACTGCGTTAGTGGGAGTCCCACCGGTCCTGCCAGGCCGCTCTGCAAGCAGCCGAACCGCAGGGGTGGACACCATGCCGGCATATGTCCAGACTATGACTGCGACACGGGACACGTCAGCGACCCGCCACACTAGTGATATGGGAAGAAGATGAAATCTGAGGGGCACGTGCTAAGGCACAGCTGTGACGTGCAGACAGGAAATCCACCTTGTGTCTCCCATCCAAGTACTAACCAGGCCCGACCCTGCTTAGCTTCCGAGATCAGACGAGATCGTGCGCGTTCAGGGTGGTATGGCCGTAGACGGGAAATCCACCTTCTGGACAGCCCTTTCCAAGCCACGAGCGTAAATCCTCAGAGGAGGCTGCTGATATCTACACGCACGTCACCCACGGAGGAACAGAGGCACGCGGGCACAGAAGCACTTTCCTTAGGGATGTGTCAGAGCACACCCTCGGCACGCACGATTTGAACTCAAATCTCTCTCTGCCCCTGAGGTTGTAAGGCTGAGGCAGAGTTTCTCAGCTTCGAACCTGCTGATAGGCAGGGCTGGATAATTCTTCGTGGTGGGCGACTGTCCTAGGCATTGCAGGATTTGAACCAGCATCCTTGGCCTCTAATCGCTAAATGCCAGTGGCATCCCTCATCTAGGCAAACAGAGATGTACACAGACATTGCCTGAGTTTAGGGACCGGGGTGTGGGCGGGTAGGGAGAAGCAGATCATCCCCACCTGAGAACCACTGTCCTGCTAGACTGGAGCTAAAGCAAAACCCATCGAGGAAGTTAGCAATTCGCACCCGCTGTATACCAAGCGCTTTGGGTCTGTGATCGCATTCCTCACAGCGCGAGGAGGTGAGTTCTATATTAGACAGCGAGAGCTGAAACCGCTGTCCGGGATTCGAAGCATGCACGAATCCCAGGACGCTGCCCTCGAGCCGCGGGTCGCAGGTCACTACTGCGCATGCGAGGCCCGGCGCCTGGGCCTCCTGGCCCCCCTCGGGGGGCGGGACTGAGTCGGGGGCGGGGCCGAGGGGCGGGACGGCCGGTGCCTGGGCGGCGGTGACGTCACGCGCTGACTCACTCGGCCCGGGGTCCGCAGGCTGCAGCCGCTTGGCCATTTATAGAATCCGCGAGGACTCTGAAGTCACAGCCCTGGCACGACGGGGGCGGGGTGGGGAGCTCTCGGCTGGCCCCCCGCGGGGCAGCCCGGGGTCCCCGACGGGGCGGTCCTTTTTGGGTCTGCCTT